CGCTGCTATCACTCGGAGGGCCACTCTTCTTTGCACCGCTCGAATTATTCCTGATAGTTTTTTGTCCAGTGCAGGTGCCCACACGGGCGCTCCATAAAAAATAACCGAGTGAATCACCCCGCAAAATAGCCTCCTCGCCGGTTCGTTGGGGCCCCTCAGATTAGGCATAAGTCTCGCGAGTGTCAGCGACATTCTTTCCGCCTTGGGCAGCAGGCAATTAAAATGCTCCCGGAATGTCCATCTTCTACTCAGCACAAGTCCGAGGTACTTAAATTTTGCGTTAACTGGGATAATTTCTCCCTTGATCAGGACCGCCTCTTCGTGCGCGAATCTGTGCGCGCGGGAGAATGCGCATACCTCTGTCTTCTGTGGGGAGATTTTTAGCCCCAACTTCTCCACTTGTCTGATCACTGTTGCTGCCGTGAACTCTACTCGAGCTGTGGCCTCCTTTAGGCTATTTCCAATAGACACGATCAGCGTATCGTCTGCATAACAGAGAATGCTGCTTCCCTCCGGGAGTTCGTGCTGGAGAACCTCGTCATATGTGAAGTTCCAACCTTCGGGGCCAAAAGCAGACCCCTGTGGAACTCCACATGTCATAGGCATTTTCCTTAATTTCCCTTTGCAGTCCGTAAAACAGATCCATCTATCGGTAAGGTAATCTCGCACCATGGCACGCAAATAGTTGGGAAACTCCTTTTTCACTGTTGCCTCTCTGATCTTCTCCCAAGGCAGTGTGTTGAAGGCATTAGAGATATCGAGCGAGACCGCCACAGCGTGGCGGCCCTCCTCGTAAACGGGCTCTAATATCTCTCGTAAGCGCAAAACTGCATCCACCGTAGAGTGCCTAGCCCTAAACCCGAATTGTTGGGCGGAAAGTCCAACCCCGTTCTCGAGACACGTCCTGATTCTCTCAACCAGCACACGTTCGAACAGCTTGCCCATTTCCGAAAGGAGGCAGATTGGCCTGTAAGACGACGCCACGAGTTCCGGCTTTCCTGGTTTATTAAGCAAAACCAACTTAGCCGTCTTCCAGCACGATGGGAATGTGCCCTCTTTAAGGCAGGCTGTGAAACATTCAGCTACTCTGTCCGCACATTCCGGGACGGCGCTCCTGATAACCTCTCCCACTATGCCATCCGGGCCCGGGGCTTTGTCGGCATTTGATTTGGCCGCTGCTCTCTCGACCTCTTCCCTGGTCACAGCGTAGTCCTCCTCCCACAGCACTGTCTGCTTAGGTCTTTCGGTTAACTCCTCCTGCCTGTGCGGAAAGAGACCCGCTACTATATTTTTAACCCTGTCCAGGGGGAGAGCCTCACAGGTGGGTTTACTTGCTGGTCGTAGTTTCCCCATGACTATTCTATAGGGGCGGCCCCATGGGTCTCGGTCAATCGAGGCCAGTAACTCGTTCCACGCGGTGTTCTTAGCTGCCTTTATTGCCTTTCTCAGGGCTTTACGGGAGCGGGATAATTCCGCCTCCAACTCTGGGGCGGTCCCCCTGCGTCTTCTGTGCGCTCTGGTAACTCTTCTCCTGAGCATATTACAATTTTTTCTGAGAGTAGCAATCTCGTCGCTCCACCAGAACATCGCCCTCCGAGAACCCGGTCTGTTTCGCTTCATGGCAGTGTCCGAGGCCATTGTCAGCGCTTCCTGTAGCCGTTTTGCTTGTTCCTCAGCTCCTTTGTTATTGTCTTGCCGAGCCCAGAAATACGTCAGTATGCTGGCTCGTAGTAGGTCTCGATCAAGGGTTCTCCTATTCCACCTTGGGAGATCTTTCAGTGTCGGATTCGCATCTCTAACTTCCCCTCCGCTCATGCATAGGAAGACATACTTGTGATCTGATAAAGTCTCTTCTTCCGAGGCCACCTCCCATTGTCTGTTCATCCTCAAGGCTGCCGGTGAGGCCCAAGAGAGGTCTATTACCGAACTTCCCTGTGGTCTCACGCAGGTCGGTTCAAAATTTTTATTCAGTAGTCTAAGATCTAGCGTTGATGCCCACGTTAGTATAATGTCACCTTTAGTCGTAGAGCGCGTTCTGTCCCACAAATCGGATCTGGCATTAAAGTCGCCCAGTACTAAGAGCGGGCCGTTCACATGGTTGATCACCGCATCTCCGACCTCCGCCAAATATGCCCTGAAATGGTTCACACTTTTATTGGGGGAGAAATAACACGACGCAATGATAAGTCTCCCCCAGGAGACCACCACAAAGCCGTTTCCCCTTTTCAGGGTCGTGACCGCGTCTGGTTGCACATTGTTGGTCCATGTGATCGCTGCCATTGGAGTCTGCTCGGTAGAGCCTACCCATCTCGGATTATTTTTAGGAACTCGATAAGGCTCTGATATACAGGCCAAACCACACTCTCGGTCTATCATAGTTTGGGCCAGCAAGTCTTGTGCCCCACTCGACCTATTTAGGTTCACTTGCACGATCCTCTTTACCATCTATTCTGTTCTCGTCGTTTCGGCCCCACTCCGATTGGCCCGAGCCTCCGTTCTTCGCGGGCTTCCCCGCTGATCTCTTCTTGGAGGGCATGGTGGACATACCTCCGATCCCGCTCTGTGGTCGTGTCTCAATCCTTTTTCCTTACATATGGGACAGCACGGGGGTCTACCACAGTCCCTTGCCGTGTGTCCTGGTTCACCACAGTTGAAGCATTTGTCCGACCTGTCCACCCCGCTCGGACACCTGTCTCTTACATGGCCCGTTGCGAAGCACTTGAAGCACTGCAACGGTCGCCTCCTGAGTAACGTCACCAGCGCGGTGGACCATCCTACCCGGAGTCTGCCAGACTCGGCCAGCCTGTGCGCCGAGTACAAGGGGCATTGCAGCCATACCGTCCTCTGTCCGTTCCTGGCTATTCTAAAGGAACCCAATCGAACATTCGTGGAATCGCACTCACCAGCTTTAGCCAGTGTCTCTATCAATTCGTCCGTCGTCACTGATGCATCAAGGCCCGTTAGTCTAATCTCGCCTCTTAACATGGGTCTTTTAATCAGGATGTTCGTCTCCTGGAATGCATCCCTCAGTTTCCTAGCCAGGGTGTCCGCGGCTGGTGAGGTGTTTTCACCTGGGATCTCAATTAACACACCTCCCGCGACCGTACTCCTCATTCTAGTTTCTTTGATCCCTATTTCTTCCAAAGTAATCTCGTTACGGGCTTTCCTTATTATTTCTGAATACGTCGGACCCCCCTCCGGGCTGGAAATCGTGATCGCCGAAGAACGCAGAGCTCGTACTCGCGGTAACCTTGCGATCTTTCTGGCTCCCCTCGTTTGATCCATTTCGCCGCTCACTTCTCTCTCCCTTTGTGGTGTTTGTACGATCTCAGGGGCCAGCTGGGCGCCTCCGTTTCTCGCAGCAGGGAGCGGGGGATATTCCGCTCGGTTGCCAAGTTCATCTGTTAGCATCCTCTCATCCATTATCTGAGCAGTAGCTCTCTTTCCACGTGTTCGGCGGCTGCCTCTTCTTTGATTCCCGGTAGTCTCTGTCCACTTCTGTCTAAGTCCATCGTCCACCGTTTCTATGGTGTGGGGCTCAGCCGCCATAGAGGATGAACCGCAGCCCCTCTCCTCACGAGCTCTAATCTGTTCAGCAACATTTTGTTCTCTGGCGCGCAACTCCTCTCCCAGAACTCCATTAGTCATTAAAGATCTGAATGAGTTAACCACAGCATTGCTAATCGTAGTATTGAGCTTCTCAAAAAAGTCCTCCCCCATCTGGTCCGAAGGCTTCCTTGAGGAGAGATGCGGGGTTCCTCTTTTCGGTTCGCCACGGGCACCCCTCTCGGGGTAACGTCTTGTAACCGTATCCGGGCTTATATCCACCTCCATCCCAAGTGGAGGGTCAGGTGACAGGGCTACACGTCCCTGAAGATCCTCGGTTCTCGGTTCGTCGCTTCTGGTTGGGCTCTTCCTCATGTTCGCTCCGCGTCGGAGCTCTTCCATTTGGAGCTTGAGATTTTGGTTCTCCTCTCTCATGTCGTTCAATTCTTTTTGCATGTCGATGATTCTTGTCCTGAGAAAGCTAACATCTCCCTCTTGGGACGCTCTCATTGCAAGTACCTTAACGATTTCTGTTGTGGCGCCTACATTTATTTTCATCTTTCTTGTAAAAGACCTCTTTATATTCTTGGACTTGTTTCTCAACCTTTCTGTCTCCGTTAGCCATTCGATGGCTCTTACAGCCATATCTGCGGATGAAAGAAGCTCGATATCCTCCAGTCTTCTATCAACTTCCCTCCTCTGAGTATCCGAGAAATGTGTTCTCTCTTCGTCCTCTTCTATATTTGCCTCTGGCGACTCCAGTGCCTTCTTTCTCTTTTGCCCCTTCTTTATGGGGGGTGGTCTTATTCTTCCCGAGGAGACCGATGAGGTGGATCCACTCCTGGATCTTGGTCCTGCCTCTACCGAGACGATCTCCAAATCACTCTCCCTAGACGTCGAGGGCCTGGATGATTCCTCAATCTGGAAGGTAGACACAAATTCTATATCCATGTTTTGTTTTTCCTTATCCGTCTTCGTTCCCCTGGACCTTGTCACAGGGGTTTCAGACAACGCTTCCTCGTATTGGTCAGCCGATGAAGGTGGGGAGGCCACCTCACTCCCGACTCCTGGCTGTGGTCCAAACTTACTTCTATCTATCTGGACTCTTTCCACACTGACGATTGCTGGTTTGAGCAGAGGCCTCGCCATAGCCCCTGCCCCACTCCCAGCGCTTGTTGTCGACACGGGGGGAGAGGGACAAGACTCCCCCGCGCGCCGTTCCCCAGGGCTCCGATTTCCTGGAGGGGTTTTATCTTTCTCTGTTGTATTATCCATATTTGTTTGTTAATGTTATTTAGAGAAACCGCTGAAATCCGTTAATCCGCTTCATATCCCTCCCCACGCAGAAACAGCGTTGTACGCTCACAAGGGGCGCAGCACTGCGGGGAAGGATGTTTAATGTCGGTATAGACCGTTAACCCACTTGGGCTTCACAATTGCAGGGGGGCCGGAGGAGGAGCTGACTAACCAAATCTTGACTAACCAAATCTTGACTAACCAAATCTTGACTAACCAAATCTTGACTAACCAAATCTTGACTATATAAATTTTTTTTTGTTTTTATATTTCTCAATTTTTGACATAAATAATTTTCAAAAAAATTTTCAAAAAAAAATTTTTATTGCAGAAATCGAAAAATATAAAAAGTCATCTTGGGTCGAGTCGGCCATGGTCATTTTTCATATTTTATATTTTTCGATTTTTTACAAAAAAATGTTGCAAAAAATTTTTCAAAAAAATTTTTATTGCAGAAATCGAAAAATATAAAAAATCATCTTGGGTCACTTGACCTCACCAAAAATCATTTTTTATATTTCTCGATTTTTGACAAAAAATTTTCAAAAAAATTTTCAAAAAATTTTCAAACAAATTTTTATTGCAGAAATCGAGAAATATAAAAAATCTTGGGTCACTTTTTCTCAAA